TCAAAAATCGAGCTATCCAGGGTGAATTAAATGCTTACGCAAACTTCTGAAAAATGAAACTACCATAAGACACAAAGGTCAACAAAAAATGAACATGGGGTTTCATCTACATGAAAAAGCTCTAAACCTAATATTCAATTAGGATGTTGAGTCTCCCATTCCCATAGTCACCTACGACGATTCTTCCAAAGTGCCTGCTTTTTATTTTTCTACTCCCGGTATTTTTAAACTCTAGAAGTCCCATTAGACCTCATGACTTCAATCATTTAATCATCATGGGGTGTGCGGTCACCCTCTCACCTATTCCCTCCAAATTTTTCAGGCAGTCCTGAAAGACGAAATAATTACCGGATACCTAGGGAAAGTGGCCATCAACATTTTTGATAAGAAAGACTCGTACATATTCCGGCATGTCGCCGGCGCTCTATCCGTTAGGAAGATTTTTAAAAGATACCTGTCTTGAATGTGAAAATTTTGCCAAGTATTTCTGACCCTTAGTAATTTCCGTAATATTCCTCATGATCAACCCATAATGCCTTTGCCTCCGTAACATACTGAGCTTTCTCGTAACTCCATAAAAAGTATGAACCGTTCATTATACTCGCTTTCTTAACGGTTGGGACGCATTTTGTTGTGTCGGCAGGAGTGAAAAACCATTCCTCACTAATTTGTGCACAGGCTCAATTTATTTTCCTGTTGAGCGTTTATTTTCGTTATCGACAATAGATCCACCAAAGCAAGGCACTAGCTCCTATTGTTTTAGATTCCTGAATATACATATGGTGACATCAGAACACGTATTCAGAAACAAACAATTGCTCTCAATGATTCACTCACAAGTCTTTACAATTCATGTAGTAGATGGTTGTGCTGAAATGGTCAAGGGTCATTCGGATTGGACATACTTTGTGGGAGGTTGGGGGTTTGGTTTAGATCGACATGTCAATCCGCACGACTAGGTAGTGACGGTCACATGGTTTGGAGCTGAGTCACTGGGGTGGGGGTGATCCACTTGCGGCCAGGGTAATTGGAGGGCTTGAACGAATTTCATCTGTGTACACATTGAAAGTGCGAAGAGACGGATGCTAATCGCCTCTGCGGTGGCCAGTGTGTGTAAGCGGATGTGTTTGTGGGGATTGGGGGGCACTCGATAGACGATTTTAAATGCGGAATCCGTGCTTATTTTGTGACCTGAGTCTACCAGATGCCCGAGAATGGCACTCACCAACGCGTTATCGCTCGGTGTGAGTTTTTTCTGTCCACGTCATCAAATAAGTCACTTAGGAACAGAAATTCAGTTCGAAAACTATTTATCACAAACTCAACCCTGAGCGCTTTATAGAACAGAATCTGAGGGATAGACCCACATGTGCTCCAAGTTATGACGTTCTCAAGAAGAAACTGTTTATCCGTATGCCGTTCGAAGGAGACGCCACATCGAACCTTGTCAACAGAATTTTAACACGTGCGGTGAGTGGAACATTCAATTCAGCTTGCGTTTTCTGTGTATTCATAAGCTCTCCGATCATCCGAAATTATAATAGGGAGGTGCTGCCAATGCTGGCCATCTCGATGGCAATATGTTTGTTGAAGTCCAACAGTAATGCAACCCACATTGACTGAATGGCAAGGCAACTATCCCAAAGAATTAAGGAACATTGCCCATGGTGGCAACAACATGGAGGAGAAGGAACCATACGGAATGCCATTCTCGGGCATCTGGTAGACACAGGTCATCAAATAAGCACAGATTCGACATTCAAATTCGTCAATCGAGTGCCCCTTAATCCCCGCAATCACATGCGCTTACACACACTGGCCACCGGAGCGGCGATTAGCAACCGTCTTTTCGCACTTTCAATGTGTACACAGATGAAATTCGTTCAAGCCCTCCAATTACCCTGGCCGCAAGTGGATCACCCCCACCCCAGTGACTCAGCTCCAAACCATGTGACCGTCACTACCTAGTCGTGCGGATCGACATGTCGATCTAAACCAAACCCCCAACCTCCCACAAAGTATGTCCAATCCGAATGACCCTTGACCATTTCAGCACAACCATCTACTACATGAATTGTAAAGACTTGTGAGTGAATCATTGAGAGCAATTGTTTGTCTCTGAATACGCGTCCTGATTTTTACTGAGACCCTTGTTCTTCCTTATGGTGCCATATTATTATATTTTGTATTTTCAGCCTATGTGCCTTCCATCCTCATCCCTGTCAAAAGCTGTCTTGTAGAATGCCTAGACAATATCATTCTGAGCTCACCATATTTACGACTCCTCTCTTCTTACATTTCAAAACGGCATTAAACAGGTTCTTTATTTGTGTGCTACACAGATTTCGGTCAATCATTCCTAAAAATCAGATGAATTTTTATTCTGTTTTTTGAGAAGCGGAAGTACTCCGTATTCACTGACCCTGGCACACCAGGATCAAATAACCGGAAACAATTGAATAATTACTATTCAGTTAGGTATCTTTTCGTACTATTGGTT